GGAAGGACATTTTCCCTTGCTAGATTACAGGTTGAAGTTAAATAGTAACTGCATGCAAGGTTATTACGGAAAAGTGAAGAATTAAAACTTTCATATGAACAATTCTAAGCTTCTATTGTTTATTTGTATGAAGCTTATTGTCATCGGTTTTAAAAAGCTTTTCTTTGTTTTTCTGAACTACATCACTGGTGAACCTGAGTATTTTTCTGTTTACTAGCCACAGATGGTTTACTTGTCTTTTGCACACACCTGTTCTTTCAGAGTGGAAGGCTGAGGTCCATCCAGGCACTTTGGCTGTTTCTATCAAATTTTGAAATTTTGCTCCGATTGTCTGCTCAAAGTTATGTTTCCCAAGATTTGAAGAAATCAGGTGCATTTTAAATTAAAGAAATCAAAATGTTTGGCAACTGGCATGTGTTCAGGATGGCTGCAGCATCCTGAGTTCATGTGATCTCCATTTGCAACCTTCCCAGATGTCTTCTGACAAGCAAATTCAATGGTGGAAGCCAGTTGTTTCCAAGCAGAAACAAAAATAGGTGTATATATATATATATATATATATATTTAGTCAAAGCAGTCAGTTTACCCATTTTTGCTAACTCCATCAACTTTTGCAGCCATTCGTCCATTGTGGGAATCAAAATGCCATTTCATTTTTGGGCAAAGAAAAGTTTCTGATTTTATCTTTATATTCACTTTGATAATCTTCTGTATTAGGATGTGAATCCTACTCCAATATTTCTTTGCTTTATCACATGTCCACCATAAGTGATAAAAGATCCCTTCTTTACTTTTGCATTTCCAACATTCATTTGAAATATCTTTATACTTTCTTGACAGCTTGTCTGGTGTTAAATACCGGGGACAAATCATCTTATAAAATTTTTCTTTTAAATTATAATTTAGTGTAAATTTTAAACCTTTCATTCACATCTTCTCCCATTGTTCAAGCATTACATTATATCCAAAGTTCCTTGCCAACTGAAACATGCAATGCTTTACATATTCATTGAGGATTACCTATAAATCAAAACTCTCCTTTGTCTTAGTTCTTCATTTTTTTTAAATTGATCCTTGGAAAGCCCCACAAAAGCTAAATGTGTCCTTTGTCCTCTCCAATTTGTGAACAAGGAGATGACTGTGCATCACAATATTTTGTGTTGCTAATAGACACAAATCTCATACAGGCCTGATCAGTCTGGAAGTCAGCTGTGAAATTTTTTTGGGTTCTCTTTCTTTGGTTCACTTTTTCTTGGCTCTCTAGGAAGTACATAAGCATCCATTTCATTTTCCAATGTTGCAACCACGACTAATATTTTTTACAGAATTTTTAGTATGTAATGGTCTTTTCACCTTATAGGTCATTTGCCTTCATAACAAACTTATCACTTCATGGAGGCTGAGGGCACATCTGTACCATCTTCTTGATCTAGCACAATAAAGATGGGTAGGATGGGGTTATAGACGGTGTCCTTAAAATGGAAAGCTCAACCAGGTAATCTCTCAAATGTGCTTTTTCAAAAGAAAACTGGGTTGTTGTTTTTTTTGAGAAAGAAGACATTTCACTTCTCATCCAAGAGGTTTCATCAGTTCATCATTGAGACAACCATGACCTGGATGACTGAGAATCTCCAAAATCAACCAGATAATTCTGAAGCAAAGACTTCCAAGGCTGTGGTCTACTAAGAGAGCAGAGTTCAGAAACAATGCTCAGACTCTTCATGCAGATGGTCCAAGCTCAGCCCAGATCAAAAGATCAAGCCACAATCTGGAGACATCCAGTCAGAGACCACAATAATGAACTATCAAGGTAATGATTTAGAAGCTACCAGCTGATGTAATGTTGGGAATGACTCAGCAGGGTCTATGTCTCTTTAAGAGTCTCTGTATAAAAGGGAAGGCTCCACAGATGTGTGCTCCTCTCTTCTGTTTCCTGCTGTAACTACTGTGTGTTGGAGATTGCTGTATTAACATGTGTATATATATTGTTCCTGGTGTAAGATATTGTAGATAGTGTATGATAAACCACCATTTAATATAGACTACTGTTTATTGTGTTTACTCCTGGGTTATCTCAATGCAATAAGACTGTGCATGCTCTGACATAAATTAACTGATAAATAATCTCTTCTAACCAACTTTTCCACACAACAACCACTCACTCCACCAATCATTTATTTTCTGCTTCAGTGTGAAGCATTTCAAACAGCTCAAATACATGCAGCCACATACACACACATGCAAATATGACGATTCTAAAGTTGCATAGTTCTGTATAAGGATAAGCTTACCCTAAAAGAAAGCAATGTGTGCTTTTTGTCATAGAGTTCAGCATGTACTATATGTGGATTGTTATCTACAGTAATTTCAAAAGTCTGTTTATGTAGGGCATTTTTCCTGCTGAAGTTGCACTCCCAAAAGAAAGTGATTTATAAAATGCAAAAACGAACAATGAAACTCACTGATAGTTAAAGCAGAAATAAAACCACAACTAAATAAAATGAAGCAACTGCCAAACAAGAGCAGGTTTAAAAAACAGTTGTCTTAGCAAGAACATTTTTCAATGCAGAATTAAGCCATAGCACATGGGACATCCAGCAATAACATGCTGCATAATGTATATCTAGACACTTTGTAATTGCACATTATCTTGTACATGGAAAAATAATATGTTCCACACTTATCTGCACCAAGTAGATTGTGGTGTTCTTTATGCATTTGGTTCTTAACAGGAATGTGAAGCAGCTCAAAGCATCACTTGCTGGAGATAAATGAATCAATCTATTTCTGCCTTGAGTCATTTTTGCATATGTTAATGCAAGTGCAATTTTTATATTACTTTACTACTTAATATTTTTGCATCACAACTTTCACCAATGGACACAACCTGAAATATAACTACAATTAATTTCATATATATTTATCCAGGATCAATGCATGACATCATGTGACAAGTCAAAAGATTGCCATTGAAAAGATCACATATTATTTTATTTTATTAATTTTCTCAACAGCATGTTTCTTGTGATGCTTTTTTCTAGAAAAGCATGTTTCCATTTGTGCATAGTTGACTTGAGAAGACCACAGTAGCTTACCAAAGCTTGTGCCTTTTAATAAAATATGCTAGTCAGAAAAGGTACTATCAGACTTCTGATTTTTGGCTCAAAATAAACATATTTCAATATAAAATACAAAGCATGCTGCTTTTTAAAAGTGAAGGACATTAATTTGGTACTTCAAATAGAAATTTAGCCACAAAAGGAACTGAAGCTTTGTGTGCATCAATTTAAAAGCAGATATTAATTCACTCAGCCCTCAAGTTCATAACATTGTAATGCCTGGTAGTTTAGAAAACTATTCACACAGAGCAGTGTTTTTCAAACTTGGCAACGTTAAGATGTGTAGAGTCAATTCTGGCAACTGAAGTCTACACATCTTAAAGTTGCCAAGGTTACAAAATATTGCTCTAGAACAGCGGTTCTCAACCTATGGGTCGCGACCCCATTTGGGGTTGATTGACCATTTCATGGGGGTCGCCAAGCAAGGCTGTCTGCCATTTTTTTCCCCTTTTCCGGCGGGTGCCTTACCTCCCTTGAGCTGGGCCAGCTGGTGGTCGGCCTGCTCCGTCTCTGCCGTTTGCCAGCTACGCCTTGGCCGGCGCAGGGGGCGGAACCACGCATGCGTGGCTCTCCCGGGCAGGGAAAGTCCTCGACTTACAACCGGTTGGGTAGTCCTCAACTTACGACCGGTTTAGTCCTCGACTTACGACCAGTTTAGTCCTTGACTTACAACCGGTTTAGTCCTCGACTTACGACTGGTTGGGGTCGTGGCATTAAAAAGGTTGAGAACCACTGCTCTAGAAGATCAAGAAGACTGATCCAGTTCCAGGCACTGCATTTTAGGCACTGATAAATGCTAGCATATCTGAAGGTGAGAAGAAGGACTAGGGGTGACATGATAGCAGTTTTCCAATATTTGAGGGGTTGCCACAAGGAAGAGGGGAGAGGGGTCAACCTATTCTCCAAAGCACAAGAAGGCAATAAAATAAACAATTTGTGGAAACTAATCAAGGAGAGAAGCAACCTAAAATTAAGGAGAAATTTCCTAACAGTGAGAACAATTAATCAGTAGTTGTGGGTGCTCCATCATTGGAGGCTTTTAAGAAGAGATGGGACAGTCACTTAATAATAATAATAATAATAATAATAATAATAATAATAATAATAATAATAATAATAATAATAATAATAATAATAATAATAGTAGTAGGAAGGGACCTTGGAGGTCATCTAGTCCAACCCCCTGCTCAGGCAGGAAACCCTATACCATTTCAGACAAATGGCTGTCCAGTCTCTTCTTAAAAACTTCCAGTGTTGGAGCATTCACCGCTTCTGGAGGCAGGTTGTTCTACTGGTTAATTGTTCTAACTGTCAGGAAGTTTCTCCTTAGTTCTAGGCTGCTTCTCTCCTTGCTTAGTTTCCATCCGTTGCTTCTTGTCCTGCCTTCAGGTGCCTTGGAGAATAGCTTGACTCCCTCTTCTTTGGGGCAGCCCCTGAGATATTGGAACACTGCTATTATGTCCCCCTTCGTCCTTCTCTTCGTTAAACTAGACATACCCAATTCCAGCAGCCTTTCCTTATATGCTTTGGCCTCCAGTCCCCTAATCATCTTTATTGCTCTTCTCTGCACTCTTTCTAGAGTCTCAACATCTTTTTTACATCGTTTTTACATTGTCTTCTGCTTGAGCAGGGGGCTGGACTAGAAGATCTTCAAGCTCCCTTCCATCTCTGTTATTATGGACAGGTGAGCAACCAAGATGACAAGGAAAGAAAATCTTATGAGGAATGGCTGGAAGTACTGGGTGTGTTTAGCCTTGGGAAGAGAAGAATGCATGAGCACTTTCTTCAAATGCCCAAGAGCTGTCATGCAGAGGACAGAGCAGAATTGTCCTGAATTGTTCCACAAAAGAGGGAAAGAAATAAGAAGGACGCATAACTTACCTGATAAAACTCGGACTTCTGCTTCGTTTCCAGTCCTTGAACTGGCAGGATTTTTGGCAAGGCATCTATAGATTCCACTGTCCCCTACTTGAATTCGACTGATTTGTAAAGATCCAGAAGGCAAAATAGCTACTCGAGTGTCACCAGGATTCAGAAGTAGATCTTCTTGGTTCCTCTGCCAATGGACTGTAGGCATAGGTTCACCAACAACTTCACACTTTAATAAAACAGTGTCACCTGCAAATGCTGTGACAGAGTCTGTCTGGGACAGAAACCTCAGTGGACCTGCAGAAAGGAAAAGATAATTAAATTAAGGAAGACTATAAATCTAAAAGGTACACATATATACACAAATGCACATCATATTTATTAATTAAGTGTATATGCCACCCATTTCATCATGACATAGTTTTGACAGGTTACAACACAATAAAAAAATATTATAAAACAGTATTTGTTTTTAATTTTTATTTGTTGCTTTGGCAAATTTAGTTAACTGCCTTCTGGTAGCAGAAGACAACACACAATGGGGGAGAGTCAAGAGAGGAATTAGTCTGGAGTCATTATGTTGCCACAAGCAATCCAAGTCCAGCCCTCTTGAATTCTGTTAATTCTTATCTAGCACCTATTTAGTGTTGACCAAGAGTTGACTAAATGCTTGTGTACATTCATGAGCAATAAATCAGCTTAATTGGAACTTAATGTGTGGTCCTGATTCTTCATACCTGAAACTTTCAACTGGAAACAATTTTCACATATTAGTATAGTAATATTCAGTCTTTCAACCAATGAGATTTTGCGATAATGCAATTCCTCAAGATATAATTCAACTAAAAAGAATTAAAGTCCAAAATTAAAACCAGATACATTAATATGAGCTCCCAACTCCCCCACATACATTCTGCTTCTTTCCTCTCCATCTTTTAGTTTTAGTTACAATTTGTACTTTCATTATTATCTTATTGTGATTTCATACATACATACATATATACGTGTGTGTGTTTGTGTGCGTGTACGGCTTTATTTTGAGGCTGAAAGCTGCCCAAAGTTGTCTTGCAGTAAGATGGGCAGCAAGCAAATTTAATAAATAAATTGGAGCATCACTGGCATTGACAAATCCACCATCAGTCAATTGCAAAAGACAGCTTACATCCTGCGACAATACCTCTAACACCACAACACATTAACATCTGCCTACCTGAGTCCTTGGGAAGGACTCGATAAGCAGACAAAAATGCAAAATCTGGTCTAAACTGCTGACTGTGTGACAAACCATAATAATAATCAGAAAAATTCGGATCACAGCAGCACAAGTTATCCCAGATGGTTCTGATAAATGCTCTGGAAAAAAGAGCTTGCTTTGTTTAATTGGGAAAAGTTTTGATTAAGAAAGTACTTAATAGTTATTTTAGAATAAATTACAGAAATTCTTGCAGAGATGCATCAGAAATTGCTCCGGGGAAAAAAAACAGTGTTCTTGCATGATGTAATATACCAAACTCTCACAATTTTTTCTCTAGATTTTATCTGTCAGATTATGTGAAACCTGCCAATTTCATTTTATTCCAAATCATGCTTTAACAAATAATAATCTAGTGCAATATGTCATTCTAGTCAAAGAATAGTATTGGTAAGGACAACAGATATGGGGTAAAGATTAGAAGAAATTTCATAATGATAAACATTATTTGACAGCAGAGTTTATTTGCTGAAAATGAAGAAAAAACAGAATGACCATCTGCTAGGGATATAGAAATACAGTGAAGTACACAATGGAGCATAACAAAAAAAATCTGTGATGAAATTTGAATATATCTCAGAAAATTATCTGGACTCAATTATAACAGTGATGGGTGCATCTTTGAAAGATCTGAAAAACCAAAGTGGGGAGAAATTCTCCTGAAGAAAATATATTTATGTGTTCACTAAGAACTGATCTCAATTAGATGGGACATAATCCATCAATCAAGAAAGGATATAATTATCTTTTTGTACAAAAGTCTTCATACTACTTCTTCAAAGACTATAGGCAGTGTACACAATCAAAAGAACTTTACACAAAATTCTACCTCTCTTGCATCTTCTTACTCCAAACCGAAAATGGAAGAAAAAATATTTGAGGGGCTACCACAAAGATGAGGGGGGTCAACCTATTTTCTAAAGCACCAAAAGGAAAGACAAGAAACAATGGAGGCAAACTAACCAAGGAGAGAAGCAACTTGGAACTAAGGAGAATTTTCCTAACTGTGAGAACAATCAACCAATGGAATAGCTGGCCTTCAGAAGTTGTGGGTGCTCCATCACTGGAGGCTTTAAAAAAAAAGACTGGACAACCATTTCTCTGAAATAGTATACGGTTTCTCTCCTGCTCAAGAAGAGGGTTGGACTAGAAGACTTCCAAGGTTCCTTCCAACTCTATTATTCTATGTCCTATGAATGAAAATTACTGACTGAAGAGTCTGTCAAAAACATTTGAAAAACTGTTACTATCAGGGCTCAAATGCTCTCCAGAATAAAATGGTCTTAAAAACTTTGTGAAAAGCTGAAAGGTTGAAGGGATAGGCATCTAAAAGAGCAGGTTCTTCTATCAATGAAGGAGAATATTTTTACCTCAGGGTTGAAATGAGGGGTCCTTGGTGCTCTCTGAACTTGCTTGTTTTCATGCAGATGTTTCATTACCCTAACTAGGTATCATCATCAGCGCTAGTAACATCACTGGCACTGATGATGTTACCTAGTTAGGGTAATGAAACATTTGCAAGAAAACAACCAAGTTCAGAGAGCACCAAGGACCCCTCAGGTTCTTCTATATCAGGGGTCTTAAAACTTGGCCCTTTTATGACTTGTGGACTTCAACTTCCAGAATTCCTCAGCCAGCATGCCTGGCTGAGGAATTCTGTGAGTTGAAGTCCACAAGTCATAAAAGGGCCAAGTTTGAAGACCCCTGTCCTATATTGTGGGGGCCACCACTGAGAAGTTCATTTTCAAATCTTTATCTCCATCCTCTTCATTGTCCTTTTGCTCCATAGAACTCCTCAATTCTCATAATACAAGCCAATCAAGTAGTCTAGTCTAACTGTCACAGCCCAGGACTCAAACTGATCAGACAATGAAGAAGAGGCTCCAGTAGAACCTATAGATCTTAAGAGACATGAAGCCAAGAATCACTTGAGGCTGATTAAACACAGAAGCAGCTGGAACCATCAGATAATTTTGATGATGTTAGGCCTCTGGCCCCCACACCTGGGTGAGTGAAGAGCACGGCAACGTTGTTCTATTAGGCTTCTTGCCAAGCAAGAGAGTAAATCTCTTGATTGATGACAACTGGATGCAGCCTGATTTAATAAGCAGCTCTGATCCATTTTCTCTTTACTGGAAACAATGTCTGATCTCTGGCTGATGTGAATGTGAATCCTGTTCATATTAGAAACTGAACTGCCTGACAACTCTGGCTCAGTCCTTGGAAATTTGGACTGCATTTGGACTATTCTCTTGAACATTCCTATTTGATAGCATATCATTCAGGCAACTATCTGAGACTGTTTGGTTTGCATGCTGTTATCTCTTGACTTTAAGTAAACTGTGATTTACTATAACAACTTTGTGTGAGTCAGTAATAAAAACACTGAGGCAGATCACTAGCTCCTTATCCAGAACAGGAATCTTCATCAAGATTGTTGTCCAATTATTACCTATTTAAAATCTTCCAATGTAAAAACGCCTATGATTCCAGGATGGAAACTGTTTTATCACTTAGTTTTCATGATCAGAAATTTTCTTGTTACTTCAAACTTGGATTTCCTCTAAAGCAGGGGTGTCAAACTGCTGGCCCATGGGCCAGACATGTCACAAGGAAACCACACCCACCCCACTGACGGCAATGGGGGAAAACATCCAATACATCATGTGACATCACATAACGTCGCGAGTTTGACATATCTGCTCTAAAGTTTCAATTTATTATTTCTGGTCATACCCATAGAAGTTATAGAGAACAAATCCATACCTCCCGTGACACGGGAACACTATTGGAACACTTTTATCAGGTTGTCCTCGGCCTTCTCTTCTTTGAGTTAAGCATACCCAGTTCCTTTACCCATTCTTGATAAAATTTAGCTTTGAAGTCCCTCACCATTTTTATCATTTGTCACTATACTGTTTCCATTTTCTCCAACTTCATTGTTTTAGTGTGGTGACCAAAACAGGTTACAATTGAAGTGGCAGTGTGGATACTATACAGGTAGTCCTCAACTGGCAACCATTCATTAGTGACCATTTGAAGTTATAGTGACACTGGAAAAAGTGATTTATGACCATTTTTCACCCAACTGTTACAGCATCCTCACAGTCATGTAATCAAAAATTGCTTGGCAATTGGCATATATTTATGTTGGCTGCAGTGTCCTGGGGTCATATGATCACCTTTTGCTACTACCTTTTTTTACAAGCAAAGTCAATAGGGAAGACGTTCACTTAACAATTGTATTACTAACTGCAGAGACTCACCTAACAACTGTGGCAAGAAAGATTGTAAAGTGGGGAAAAATTCACTTAACAACTGTCTTGCTTAGCCAACAGAAATTTTGGGCTCAGTTGTGCTTGTAAGTTGAGTAGAAACTTACTACTACTTACAGGTAGTAAGCACTACCTGTACCTCTATTGATGCAGCTCAAGATTGCATTAGCTGTGTTGGTAGTTGCAATGCACTCAGCCCATACTCCATCAGAATATCCAAATCCTTTAATCAAGTTCTACCTATCCTAAAGACATGCATCTGTGGGGTTTTTTTTCCTACCTAAATGCAGAACCCTAAAGGTAGTGACATTCAATGAATTCCAATGTTAGGTAACGTTTTGAACTTGGATTTTTCTACTTCTGGTATAATAAACATACAGGCAGTCCTTGACTTACAACAATTCATTTAGTGACTGATCGTAAAAATGAGCCAAACTCACTTAACAAATGTCTTGCTTAGCAACAGAAATTTTGGGCTCAAATTTGGTCATACGTCAAGGACTATTTGTATTGCCTGATCGCCACAACAACTTTGCATTTGATGAGAATATGCGTCCATCTTCACCTTCTTTTCCTGAAATAGCCATCTTGGCTGACAATAATTTTAGGAAATGTATGTATATCCTCCCCTTTTTTTTGTTTCTATGGTTAAAAGTTCCCATGGTAGCAGATAGATTTTTTCCCCATTTTACACTGCAAAGCAAAAGACTCATTAGCTAGTTCTCTTTCATTTGTCTAGGTCATCTGGGAAAATAAAAACAAAGTCTTCCCAGTTGTCATACTAAATTCTTGGCACAACGTCAGGATGTTGAACCATCCAGTATGTTCTTGAAAAGAAGATAGATTAAATGTCCCTTTAAGCTTGGTTAAATTAAAAAATACATACGGCGACACAGTTCTCTAAATGACCTTAGGAAGCTGTTTAAAACTACTTGTAGATTTTGGTATCTGCAGAAGGAGGTCGCATAACATAGCAGCAAAGATGAACTGGGATCAGCAAGAAAAAAATTCTGTCTTTTTTTTTTTCATGAGAGGAAGTATCTCGTATTATCTGAATTTCAAAATTTCTTTGACATTGAATATTTTCCTCATCTATGATACATTGAATAACTTCCTTCATGATTGCTAGGCTTCCTGATATTCTAAATCTGTCCCACTTCAGTTTTACACATCCTCAGTTGCAGATCTGTCTTGTCATAACTGTAGCAATAGCACTTACATTTATATACTGCTTCATAGTGCTTTACAGCCCTCTCTAAGTGGTTCACAGAGTCAGCCTGTTGCCCCCAACAATCTGGGTCCTCATTTTGCCAAC